TTTTAATTAAGCGATTATTCTTACGAATAATATCGCGAAATGAAAAATTAAAAAAGAAAATAACAATTGATTTATGAAAAATTGAAGAGAGTGTCAGTGTCAGTGTCGTGTATGTGTTGATTGAAGTGTTGTGTAAATGGATTTACATAATTTAATAAATTGTGTATAATTTTGCTTTAGTACAAAATTTTCAAGATTGTTTATATGTTGTAGATTCAAATGTATTTTTATGTTTGTGTAGTGTGGGCATTCCAAAAGAAGGTGTTTAGAATTCTGTATTGTGTTTGAGCAATTACATAATTCATTGTCTGAGTGTTTTGTTCTGTGTAAGTATTGTTGGAAATGTCCGTGGTTTGTGAAGAATTGTGTGGTATAAAAAGTGTGTTTTATGTGTTTTGGTATATTACAATCAGAAAAAAATTGTTTGAATGTGTCGTTTGTATCATTATATATCTGTGCCATTGCATCTTTCTTCAAGTCTGAAGTGTATTGTTCAATCGTTGTGTTTTGTAAAAAATCTAATTGTGTATTTTGTCTGTACAAGAATTTAGATTGTTTAATTTTGATGTTGGTGTAAATTGGTTCGATGTTTGTAAGTGTTAGTGTGCAAGCTTTGGATACCGTCTTGAAAGCCATAATGGCATTTCTTAGAATTTGATATTGTGTTGATTCTAACTTGTTAATTTGTTTCTTTGTTATATGATCGATCCAGATTTCTGAACCATATGTGAGTGTTGGTCGAATCAAACCTTTATACATATTTTTACGTTTTTTTGTATTAATTCCATACGTGTTTTTACAGAAATTGAAAAGTGTATTTTTGATTTTAATTGTTTTTGTTATAATATTTTGAATGTGTGTGTTGAAATTGATCTTATTTTTGTGCGTGTGGTTTTCCATAGTAAGACCAAGAATTTTAACTTTGTTTACGATTTCAATTTGTTCATTATTCAGTAAAATTGGTGTTTCTAACGTTTTTTTATGAAAGTGAATGATGTTCGTTTTCTTGGAATTAATGACAAGATGATTTTGTGTTGACCAGTTGTGTATTAGTGTGAGGGATGTTTGTAGTGTATGGTGTAATTGTCGTGTATCTGATCCTGTACAAATAATTGTGATGTCATCTGCGTATGCATGTATGTAAGCGTTTTCAATGATAAAAGAGTTAAGTAAAGGGTTAAGCGCGATGTTCCATAGTATAGGCGAAAGTGGACTGCCCTGAGGGCAGCCCTTTGTGAGGTTTTTCGTTTGTGTGATTTGGTTGTAACGGAACGTGATTTTTCGATTGGATAAAAAACTTTGGATAATTTTTGTGTAATGTGTCGGAAAACGCATTTCGTCCATGTTTTTGGTGATTTTATACCAATTTGCGTTATCAAAAGCTCCAGTGTAGTCGATCGAAAGTACAGATGTCAGTTTGTGTTGTCGATTTTGTAAAATGTCCTTTGTGATGTTAGATAAGGCTGTAATAGTTGATTTGTTTCTAGTGAAACCATGTTGGTTTACATTTAGTAGATGATGTGTTGCCATATAGTTTTGCAAGAAGATTTGGATTATTTTTTCAAAGGTCTTGCCTATGTTGGAAAGAAGGCTGATAGGTCTATAGTTTTTCGGTGAACTGTAGTCCTCTTTATTTGGTTTTGGGAAAATTACGAGAAAAGCTTCTTTCCAACATAGGGGAAAGTGTCCCAATTCCATACATTTAGTAAATAATGAAGATAACGTTGGTGTGATGATGTCTTTAATTTGTTTGAGCATCTTGTTGGTGATGAAATCTGGACCTGGTGATTTTTTGTTGTTACTATTTTCAATAATCGATTTTACCAGTTCCTGGGTGATAATAATTTGGTGTTGATCAAGGATGATGTCCGACGATGGCGATGAATGGTGTTGGATAGTTGATTCGTCTGGGAATATGGTGTCAAGCATGTTTTTCGAAGTTTGCTCATGTTGGTGAGGAGGAATGTCGTCTAAAATTGGTAGGGAGAAAGCTTTGGGACTTAATTTAGATTTAATTAATTTATAAGTATTTCCCCAAGTATCGTTTGAATTAGCTTCTTCGAGGAAGTCCTTCCAGCTTTGCTGTTTTTTCCGGTGAATAGCATTGACGTATTTGTTTCGGTATTTTTTGTATTCGTTGAATCTAATTTGTTTCATGATGGGATTTTTTTCATGATTATAAAGATTTCTAAGATTTCTGGCAGTTATTTGCATTAGTCTTAAACTTTTATCCCACCAAGGTGTGCTGTTTTTCATTGTGTTGTTGCGTCTTTTTGTTGGTATTGAGGCGTAGGCCGCTTCTTGGACCAATTTCGTTACTTCGGAGGCTAAACTATCTAGTTCTTGGGTGGTGTTTGCATGTGTAATTTTTTCTTTAAGTTGATCGACGACTGTCATGTTGAAACAGTTTTTGAACTTTTGCCAGTCGGCTCTATCCTCGTCGAATTTTCGAGTTGAATGAATGAATTTGTTTGGAATTTGATGTTGGGAATTGAATGTGAAAATAATAGAGGTATGATCGAAAATGGTGCTTGACTGTTGTAAGATATTCCAGTTTATAATGTTAGTTGTCGCATTGCTGTTGGTGATAGTAAGATCAATGATACTAGTGCCGTTTGGTCTTATGCATGTTGGTTGTCTATTGTTGTGAATGATGAGCTCAAATTCGTCTATTATTTCGGCGAGATGATTACCTTGACGGTTATTTGTTGAGTCGTACCATAATTGATGTCTAGCGTTGAAATCTCCTGCAAGAATCAGCGGAAGATTTTTGAAGGTGTTTAAAATGTTGGTGATCAATTCAAAATGTTCTTTGTTCGTGGTATTTGGTTCGATGTAGACATTCGTTACAATCAGAGGTGTGTTGTGTAATTGGATTTGAATGGTTGTAATGTTGCTGTTTGAATATTTTGGAAGAAATTTTGTGTAAAGATTGTTATTTGTTACAAGAATAGCTGATTTTGGTATGTTGTTCTGTGTGTAATATAAAGTTGTTCTGAGTGGGAATCCAAAGACTTTTGGTGTGTTTCCTGTGTAAGGTTCTTGGAGTAGTATAATGCCTGGTCTGGTGTGAATGATGTGATGTAAAAGTTCCTTGGTTGCTATTAGACTTTTGCGAATGTTTTGTTGTTGAAATATAATAATGTCAGAATTGAATGTAAAGGATAGAAGAGGGGGATTCTGATTAAATTAAAAAGGGGGAAAAAAGGTTAAGGAAGAAATTTAGTCTGTTCATATAATCTGTCCAATTGTAATTTGTAAAGTGGGCATTGAACTGTATTTGGTAGGTGATCAGTATTGTTTTTGTGTTTAACGGAATTTTTACAATTTATGCATGTGATGTTTCCTTGGCAAGAATGATTGTTATTTTTGTCTACACCACAGCTTTTGCATTTAATTTGATTTTTGCAGTCATTGGATTTATGGTTGAATTGGAAGCACTTTTGACATTGACGGACGAATAATTTTGTTTGAATTTGGCAACATTGATAATTGAGGTAGATTCTATTGTTAAGTTTACTCGTGATGATATGATAAACCCTGGGGCTTACCCGTAAAACTACATTCATATGCTTTGCTGTTCTATCTCCATGTTTCATCTCAAAACAGAAATCGATTTCTTTTATGGAATCGGCTAATTCTTCGTTGCATTCAACTATTTCTTTTGGTAAGTTATCCAGATCGGTTTCACATGATACGTTTTTGACCAAGATTGTAGGATCTCTCATTTTTGGTGCGTAAGCATTACATTCGTCTTTGGTTGTTTCGTGTGAATTGATTTGATTGATTAAGCTTTCAGAGATCTGTTCGTCGTTGGGTGTTTTAATTATTACACATTTTTGATTGCTAAAAATTTTGTTGATCTTTATTTTATTTTGAGCTTGTTTAAGAATGTTTTTGATTTTATTCTCAACTATTTGTGGAGGAGCTTCGTTACTTGGTTTGATAATGATTGTTTTCTCTTCTTGTCTTGAAATCGGTTGAGGGGAGGGGAAAGGTTCTCTTTTGACGATCTGAGCAAAAGAGGGAGATGGATGTTGGTTTTTATTTTTGTCCATATTATCTTTTATTTCTTTGAGCATATTGTGCATGGTTTCCATATTATTGAATTTGGCAGCCATTTCCCTGATGGCAGAAGATACCACATCTATAATTCCGAGAAACTTGTTTGTTGACCGTTTATCTATTGTTTTAAACAAATCAAGAATGTCGCAACATTGGTTGATATTGTAATCAGTGATAATTGATGGATCGTGAAGCAAATCTTCAAGAATTGAATCAGAGCTTTCACTTGTTCGTTGGGTACCAGAGTCTGAAACACTCGCATTGCGAGTATCAGATTTGGTACGCTTCGACATGGTGGCAGCACCGATGCGAGCGAGAAGAAAAAATGTGACAAAATTTGGGCAAAGAACAAAGGGTTCGGTAAATTATTGAGAATTATCACTGTGGATGAGTATATTATAAAACTCAGAACAGTCAGACCAGGAAATCGTTTAATAAGTTAGATGAGGATAAGAGATGCATAAACAAAGTAAAAACAGCACTAAACACTTTGTGGTGGTGTGAGTATGGGGTAATTTTAGGAAAAATGGACAATATATTGTTTTAAAGGATTCACACGATTGATTTTATAAATCATAAGTTTATATCAGGTAAAAGTCACAAAATGACACCTAAAATGCACTAATTAGCTAATTATGTCGCAAGAAAATGGGTAAAAAAAGGCAAAAAATTAAGCACTCAAAAAACAGCACGTCTACTCTCACAGCTGTCGTACTACGACTTATTTTTTGAAGCCAATTTTTATTGAGTGCCAAAATTATTAAATTTTTAAAATATTTTTGAATTTTAACAGAAAAAAAATTCTTTTCCATCATCTTTTCTCTCCTTCTTTCTCACTTCGTATCACATAATCATCAATTTGATGATGAGTTTGGATCACGTAAAAAATGAATTTTCATTCCATTGTATTGTGCAAAAAGAAAAAAATATGAAAGAAATGGATACCTAAAAACCTAGTGAACCAATGATGATGATGACTGTAATGATAATGATAATGATAATGATGGTGGATTGTGGTTAACGGTAGATAGAGTAATCATTATTATCATACATTACAAAGTAAAATGTTCACTGTGGTATATATTTTTTTTCACTAATTTCATTTTATTCTTTTTATTTCATTTTGAATTAGAATTCAGTTCATTTCAAATAAGATTTAATCATCTTTCTCATCTTTTTTTTTTTCGTTTTGGTGTCGGAAAAAATCAACTTGAAGTTTTTTTCCCGAATGTTTTTTTCATTCAACCAGTTTTCAACCGAATAGCCTTAAAACAACAATCAATGTAGATATTTCACTGTTTCGAAATAACTTGTTTGTTAAACACTGGTTTTTTTT